AAAAAAAAACAAAACCAGAAGAAATATTTACGAAAAGTTTTTCTACTTAACAAAATCATTTTTACCTAGACAAAAGATAAAAGAAAATGCCTTCTTTCTTCTTCACATTCAAGTAACACACAATGAACAAATATGTTAGTAATGAAAATAAAACTATCTCCTAACAGTTAAACAACATGATACAAGAGAACAAAGAAAGTAACAAAGTATGTTACTTTCAACTTAGTAACTTACTAACAAAGTAAGTAACAAACAAAGTCTTCAGTTACAAATGGATTCCTGGCTCCTGATGATAACCCTTAGTTCTCCAATAGCCTGCACCTAGTTGTCCACAATGCAGTTTATCAGTTGACTTAACAATGATTGCTTAGTAAGCAATTACATGCTCCAATTTCAGAAAAACCATTGCTCTACAAAGAAGAAATAAAATTAGTATAAGGGAGAGGAAAAAAATAAGGAAGGCTCTGGAACATAAACATAGACAGATTGGCAGCAGCTGGAAAAGGGGAAGTAAAGGTGATCTCTTAATTACTTTGTAATCAACCCCCTACTTATATATTCACAGATTAATTAGGTCTCATACAGAACTAAGTTTTCAGAAGAACAGTGTAATACAGATGTTTTTATTCTGCCTAGTGCCATAATAGATTTTTTAAGTTGTAAAACATTTTTTTTCCTCTAAATGCCCTGAAATAGGGAAAGAGGGAGATTTAAAATAGCAAGCTGGTATAGAGAAATGAAAATGATAACAAGTCAGGAAATGCCAGGACTACAGTTAGAGGATGCAGACTGCAGTACTATAATCAAGACACTATGGTGAGAGCCCTAAGTGACCTCAGAGACTTAAACTGGGTTCATGATGCCTAAGAGTATGCTGTGATTGAAACAGTGACTAAATTTAAACAGGCTCCACTGGTATAGGGATCTAATACATTTTAGGCACTGTTGACAAAGAAGGTACTAGCTCAAGTTAAATGCTAATGCTTCAGCTACAACACATGGTCGCAAAATAGCAAACATGGATAGAATTACAAGTCCATACGATGATGAAAACTGAGGATTTTGCTAAGTTTCAGATAACTCTCTTAAAGCTACAGATAATTTTGTTGAACATAGAGTGACAGTATTCCTGTAGCAGTAGTCTAAAAAGAAGCAAACTGGTATAATCCAGCCATATTCTCCTGCATTCTATTTGTTACAGGTTCCAAACTAGTGCTGAGCAAGGCACCCTAGTTTCTTTTACCTCTTTCATTCTTCAAGTACAAAACAGAAAAAAAATACACAGCTATCCCGAGAATGAAAATAGAAGATTCCACGCTTCTATAGACATATACTCTAGTCAGTTCAAAATGTCTTTGACTAAATAAATATTTTATTTTTTTTTTTTTTTGGAAGGGAAAGAATTTGTAATACTATTAAAATACTTCAAGTATTACAAAAATAGAGGCCACTAAATGATTTCATTTCAAAATGCAATTTACAGGCATATGTCACTTTACTATGCTGAAATAAAGTAAGAACATGAACAATACTTTCAGTGCTACTGCATTATTTACAATGTTTGATTTTTATAGATAAAAACCCTGATAGCATGGCTGGAAGGAACTGAAAAGGTAAGCCAAATTTAGAAAACAACCTATGGTTTCTGGCCATCACAGGTGAAAGGCCAATATCAAAGTAAACAAACTGATCCCTACAGGGCTGCTGGATAGCAATACCAACATTCACTGCACTTGCTAATTAAAGTGCTTCTTTAATGCTTTTTGTGATATGGTAATATGCAAAAGTAAATAAGACAACCTCTGACTTCAGAAATGTAACTTTTTCAAGAAAATAGACCTTTCTTTTACTGGTTAATAATTTCTTTTGCTACACAGATACTGTTTCTAGAGTTTTCTTTAAAGCTTGAAAGCATGGTTCTTGAAAGAAACATAGACTTATCTTCCTAAACATTGGCAAGCTGGTTTCCTTTGGTGTTTGAGATTTGAGGGGCACCTCACTGGGTTGCAGAGCTTCATCAATTCCAAGAAACCTCAACAAAATATCAGGTGCTACTAGCAAAACTCTTTTATCCTACTTCTTGCTACCCTTAGCCTTTATTCTGGCATGGAAACAGAACTGAAAACTAGAAATATACACAGAGATTTCAAAACATTTTTTTCTTTTGGAGAGCTGAGCATAGATGGCAGTAGAAGAGACAAGACTCACCCCCACATGTACTAAAGCTGCCCCCAGGGAGGGCAGGCAAGCAGGAACACAATGAATAGAGAGGACAAACAGCATGAAACATGAGCCAGGGCACCATCACACTGTTTTCACTCACAGGGCAAGCAAGACAGGCACTGGGGCACTGACAACCCATGCACTTAGCTCAGTTGGTAATCTTCACTCTCAGCTAAGGTGTGGTGTTTGTTTGGACAAGTTACTTCCTCTGTGCACACCAGAAAGGATGGAGCAACCCAGACAGAGTGTCCAAGAAACTGTGCAAGAGTCTGGGTCTCAGGCTGCAGGGAATGATGGAACCTGGCGCTGCTCTCAGGGCAGCAGAGACAACAGCTGTGTGATTTGTGATCAGGTGGATGACTTACAAAGCTTAATGCTGGAGCTGAGAGACAAAGTAGAAAAACAAAGAAGAATTAGGGAGTCTGAGGAAGAGACCAAGTGGTGGATCCACATTCTACCACACCTCAGAAAAATGCACCCACTGTCCACTTCACATGAAGCCATGAATCCCTCACCCTCTCACCACCAGGTAGCATGGGACCTTAGAGACAGAGGTGAATGGAAACGTCCCAGGTGCTCTTATGCAACAGGTATGGGGCCCTGGAATCTCAGAATCAAGGAAATAAGCATGTGGATGAAAGTCCCTCTAGGGTGGACCGATTATCTAGGACAAGGTAGCCTACCCCCTACATCCTGACTTCCTCAATTAAGAAAAAAAAGAACGACAGTAGTGACTCCTTTTTTAGAGAAATGAAGAGCCCAATATGCCAACCAGAATTAACCTATACAGAAGTATGTTGCCCCCATGCAGCCCAAAGAAGAGATATCACCAAGAAACTGCCAACTGATCCCTAACTACCCTATTAACTGTTTACCAGGTGGGTAGCAACAAAGTCCCAATAAAAAGGCTGTGAGTGATCAAGGGCCTCACTTCAGGGCCTTGGGATAACTGGTCAAGGGATCTGGAGCACAAGCTGTGTTCTCTTCTGTCCTTCCAGCTGCAGGGAATGATGGGGCAAAAGCCAGGAAAATCCCAGAGGAACACATGGCTTCAATGGAACACAAGGGTGGTGCTCCATCAGAATTTGTGGGGTTTTGATCATGGGTCAGTTTACATGATTCTGAGTCTGCTGACAACAAATGAGATCCTTCTAGCTCAAAGAAGTATAAGGAACATAGCAGGGTTCACTGAAAAGAGCCTAAAACTGGATTTAAAGGGGGACACGGACAAGGCCAACAGAGAAAACATGTGGGAAAGTGAGAAGTACAGTGATCACCTAAACAGCAAAAGATGCTTAAGAGGGGATGCATCCCGAGGGTACATGCATCCAAAGACATAGCCAGAAGACAAACTATGCACTCCCACTGGGATATATTGACATAATCAACTACTTCCATGGAGTGCCTGTACACCAATGCACACAAAATGGGTAACAAACAGGAGGAATTAAGAGATCTGTGTGCTGTCAAAAGACTCTGACCATTACAATTAGAGATGTGGTGGGAGAACTCACATGACTGGAATGCTGTAATAAAGGAAATGCTATTTAGGAGAGACAGACCAAGAAGGTGAGGCAGTGGAGTTGCCTCTCTTGAGGCAACACCTGGAATGTATAGATCTCTATCTTGGGGTAGATGGTGAGTGAGTCAAGAGTTTATGGGTCAGGATAAAAAGGCAGATCAGTAGGGGTGACACTTGTTGGTGTTCACTACAGGCCACCTGAGCAGCAGAAGGTGGACAAAATCTTCTACAGGCAGCACAAAGCAGCCTTAGAGTCACAGACACTGATTTTTGTGGAGGACTTTAACTACCCTGACATCTGCTGCAGAACTAGCACCATGAAACACAAACCAGCCCAGAGGGAAGTAGTGATGACAACTTCCTGCCACAGGTAGGAATATTGTGCTGCTTGACCTCAAATTAACAGAGAAGACCTTGTTGGGATGTGAAGGTTGGGAACTTCAGCATCAGGGTAGGAGGAAGCAAGTAAAATGAAAACCAAGGACTTCAGGAGAGCTAACTTTAACCTCTTTGGGGATCTTCTTGGAAGAATCATACAGGAAGAGCCCCTTAAGGGAAGAGAGGTGCAATAGAGTTGGTAGATGTTCAAGGATAAGTTTCTCCAGGCACAAGAACAAACATCCCAACGCACAAGAAGTCAGGCAAAGGGGGTAACAGACTTGCATAATCAAATGAAGAAGTGTCATTACCCAGGCAGGAAGCACACAGGAGATAGAAAAAGGGTCAGGCACTTAGAATGAAGATAGACAGGTTGTCAGAGTAAGTAGAAATAAGACAAGGAAGGTCAAGGTGCATCTGGAATTAAATGTGGCCAAGTATGTCAAGAACAACAAGGGAGGTGATCCTGCTCCTCTACTCAACCTTAGTGAGGCTACATCTGGAGTGCTTTCTCCAGTTCTGGGCTCCTCATTACAAGAAAGATATGGAGGTCCTGGCACAGGTCCAACAGGTGACAAACGGACTGGAGCATCTTTCTTAATAGAATGAAGCAGCTGGGACTATTCAGCCTCAAAAAGAAATGACAGAGAGGCAACCTCATATATATTGTCCCCTACAACATCCTTGCAGGTAAGCTCAGGAAATGTGGGTTAGATGAATGAACCTTGGGGTGAATCAAGAAGTGACAATTGCATAGCTTAGTGGGTTTGTACAGACATTGTCCTAATAGAGGAGCACAAAATCCACACAGAATAATAATTTTCAAATCTCTGGTTGATGTGGAACCTGCCAGACACTAAAACATAAAACAATGTCTGCAGCAATAGGCTGTTGTTTGCTACAAAGTTGTTTGTTTTTTTTTAAGATACTTCACATCAGTGGTGGAAACCATTCTGTGGCACAGCCCCCAAAATCTCCTCCAAGAAGAGGCACTGAAAAGGAGATATGCAGAATGTAGTCCTCATAGTTCCCTTCCCCGCTCCCCACCACACAAAAAATACGATCAGTGGACCAGAACCCAGCTAGAGGCCTGCAGTCAGTGGTGCTCCCAAGGGTCCAATCTCATTGAATTTATTTATCAGTGACCTGGAGGAAGGGATCAAATGTACACTCAGCAGGTTTGCTGGTGACACCAAACTGGGGGCAGTGGCTGATCCACCTGAAAGCTCTGCTGCCGTTCAGTGGGACCTTGATCAGCTGGAGGGTTGGGCAGAGAGAAACCTGATGAGGCTCAACAAGGGCAAGTGCCAGGTCTTGCACCTGGGCAGGAACAGCCCCAAGTGCCAGCACAGGCTGGGGCTGACCTCCTGCAGAGCAGCTCTGTGGAAAAGGACCTGGGACTCCTGGTGGATCACAAGCTGTCCATGAGCCATCACTGCCCCCACGGCCAGGAGGGCCAATGTCATCCTGGAGTGCCCTGGGAAGAGTGTGGCCAGCAGGTCGAGGGAGGTGATCCTCCCCCTCTACTGAGCCCTGGTGAGGCCACAGCTGGAGTGCTGCGTCCAGTTCTGGGCTCCCCAGCACAAGAGAGACAAGGAGCTACTGGAGAGGGTCCAGTGGAGAGCCACGAGGATGATCAGGGGTCTGGAGCTTCCCTCTCATGAGGAGAGACTCTGGGAGCTGGGACTGTTTGGTCTGGAAAAGACTGAGAAGAGATCTTATCAACACACAAAAACATCTCAAAGGCAGGGGTCAGGAGGATGGTGCCAGACTTCATTCAATGGAGTGATCCAGCACTGATGCTGGATGAGAAGCAATGGCCAAAGACTAAGGCACAAGAAGTTCTACCTCAACATGAGGAAAAACTTCCTTACACCAAGGGTAGCAAAGTACTGGAACAGGCTACCCATAGAGATCATGGAGTCTCCTTCTCTGGAGACACACTAAAACCTCCTTGATGCATTCTGGTGTAACCTGCCTTAGGTGACTTTGCCTTGGCAGGTGGGTTGGACTAGATGGTCTCCAGAGGTCTCTTCCAAACCTAACAATTCTGTGATTCTCATCAGTACCTGCAAGTACCTAAAGAAAGGGCGTCAGTTGATGGATCCAGGCTCTGCTCAGTGATGCCAAGAAACAGGACAAAAGTCAATGAGCATAAAATGACATACAAAAGTTCCACCTGAACAAGAGGAGAAATTTCTTTTCTGTGCAGTGACCAATTGCCCAAAGAGGTTGTAAACTCTCCCTCACTGGGGATATTTAGGAACAATCTGGACACAATTCTGTCCAATGTGCTCTAGGACAAACCCCTTGAGCAGGGGGTTTGCACCAGATGACCCACTGTGGTCCCTTCCACCCTGACCCATTCTGTGATTCTGTGAGTCAGTGATTCTGTGTAGTTCAGCTGTTTTATTTATCCAAATATATATATATATATATATGTACAGCTATGCCTATAAACAACATCAACTGTCCTGTCCTCCCTTTGCTGTGTTTTAAGTACATGGGCCAGACATGCCTACCAAAGACACCTGGTAGGTCAGAACCAGTACAGTTGCACACATTTCTCTTCCTCCCTTTGTACCGATTATAGTGATTTTTCATATAATTACAATATATCCCATGCTTTATCTAATTTACCTGCCTTGGTGTAAAAGGACTCCAACAAAGGAAAAAGAAAAACAACACTTTTTTTTTCTTCCCAGGGGACTTTTTCCTTTTCCTGCTTAGCAAACCTTTGATTTTTCTGTTGAAATTGACATTTTAAAGTAGTTACAGTATTTTTCTCTTACAATATGTTTCTGCATATCAGAGCAAAACCCTTCTATTTTAAGCAGTTGACACAAAAAATGGGGACAGATTTATAAATGTCTATATAATAAACAAACAACAACTGGTAGTTAAAATTCAGAGGAAATTTCCTATGAGACTATAAATAATAAATAATTTGTGAGGCTAAGGAAAACGGATAGTAACATTTTCAAAATGGCACACTATCAAATCAAGAGGACTAGACTCCTGCAACAAAAGGCAAAGAAAAAGGATATGCATTTTAAGCTCCATTGACTCTCCAAACATGGAGACCACTGACAAAGAGTGGTATCTACAGAGTGGCTTGTTTATTGCTGATCTGTGATAAGGCTACTCTGGGAATTTCTGTCCTTTAGAAAAACAGTGAAAGTGTTTCTGATTACATCATCCATCTGACCTACAGTACCAGCTGTGAAGTAGTACCTATTTACATTCAGAGATCCTATTGTGGAACCAGGGACCATGAACCATACTGGCTAGGGACAGAATCAGTAGCAGGTGTCACTGACACTAAAACCTCCAGATTTTGCAGTGTTTTAATTATAAGGAGACCATTCTAAAAAGCCCCATCTACTGCAGTTCTAATAAAGTAAAACAATAATTTTCAAGATACATTGCTTATACTGCTGTGCAATTAGAGGTCTCTGTTAACTCCTGAGAGTGTGAACTGACACTCTATGGTTTGCTTTCACAGACATGTCAACAATTTGAAAAACTAAAGAGTCTCAACACAGGACCTCTGAGGAGAAAATATCTAGAAGCAGTCATGGAAGACTGGTTGAAGACAAAGCTGCAAATAAAAGGAAGCATCCTGTGATACACCATTAGGTTGGTGCAGGACAGCAAAAATCACTCATCTTGCCTTTTCAGAATGGAATTAAACCCTACAAGGGGTTATTTCACTAAAGTGCTTGTAATTAAGACTCAGATCTTTGGATGGAGAATGTAGCAAATTGCTACAGTTTCCTTGTAGTGCTAGAATAAGTGTCCTAGAGTGAGGAGACCCCCAGCTGTACAATGAAATACTGGCAAATTATATTCCACTTGTAGCGATTATATGTTTCCTATAAAACTTAATGAAAAAAGGTTGCTAAAATAATTAAATTTAAATATTGCATTCTGCATCTTTATGTAATCGCTGGCAATCAGTAAACCTTAAAGATCCTTTGAAGATATTCTGTAACTTGTGGCACATTTTCCCTTGTTTCCTTTGGAAATAAGGCTATAATATTCTGTCCGTACAACTCTGATCAAACAAAGCACTGATCTTATAGACAAATATGGCTAACTGGCTCAAAATGCAATAGGTAAAATACAGTTAAGCCAGGAAAAATGGGCAATCAGGACTACGACAGCCCTAACAATAGACATTTATGGACTCTATGGATGGCAGAAAAGGAAAGGCTTAATTTGGCATTTGCAAATTGAAAGTCATTCACAAATTAGAAATCAAGAAGAAATTAGACTGTCTTCTTGAGAGCTTGACACTTAATAGTAAGGAAGGCAAACTGGAACACAAGATGGAAAAGAGATTGTTGAATCATTTAAGTGTATACAGACATTGCACTACCAAGATTACAAAACTACCAGCTTGTACTCCAACATTACAAAGCCTTTGTTAGAAAACATGCCCAGATGTTTTCTAAGGGAAAACATTCCCCTTTTAGCAATTCAGTAGTCCTGTACAGCAAGCTGACAGATGAGGTTTTTTTCCAAAAAACATGCCTAATGTGCACTCCACAAAAGAGACAGATTATCAGTACGTGCTTTACATGCTATCTATACAATTCAGCTGCAGAGGCTGGGAGGTTTAACACCATCCCAAAGAACAGTGCAGTAGTGCAGAGCACCTATTTTTCACAATACACTAGAGTTTTTAAAGACATGAGCCATCATCCATAGGAGGAAGAAATCTAAATTGCGTAACTCCACTATTGCTTTAGGAAGGAAATGTAAGTTTTAAAATTAAAATTAAGCTTCCTTATTCCACCCTTCTTTTTGTTGGTACATGGAAGCCATAAGCTGAAACTACAGGATGTTGGGGAAATTAAATATAAATCTGGATGCCACTCCACTTATTCCACTTATAGTGATGTTTTTAGCCTTTTCAATATCCAACAAAAAATGTAAATATCAAGTAAAAAAAAATCTAAAAAATTCTAACTCAATCCTAAGAATTCACCATAAATTGCTCTGTAAAAAGAATACTTCATAGATATATTTTTCAGCACACAAAGACTTCCAAGACTAAAATCTGCATCAAATATAGCATTCTTCAGATGACGTAATCACAGGTGGCAGTCGTAAGTAACAAGGCATACCTTATTTCCTCAATTTCACAACACTTTTAATTGAAACACATGTAAATGAATGTGGTGAATGTGATGGAAAAGATGGTGAATGGTGGTTGTAGAATAATAGTGAACATTTCAAATTGCAAATAACTTGACTAACATTCAGTACCAACAGTTTTACACTTTTGACCCACTGCTCACTGTATCATCTGTGTAACAGCATCCTCTAATTCTGTTGAAATCTACCACTGCTAATTGGTTTTTAGGGTCAGAATGTATATATCTAAATTTATCCCCAGATGAGACCATTTTACTGTATCTCTACACAGTCTTTGCAAAGCATGAACTGAAAAAACCACTGCTGCCCTATATAATTCTTAAATCAAGCAAATTCAATCTTACAGCCTTAACATTCTCAAAACAATCAGTAGCAACTGTAAGCCGAATTAGGCAATTCACTTCCAGAATGTTTTAATAAAGACATATATTGCTTATTATAAATTCAGTCAGTACTAGCATGGAGTTTGCAGGTATTTTTAATTTTAAACTACCTTAAACTTGTTAGGGGGTCAAACTACAGAAATAATCCATTAAATATTTACAAGAAAAAAAAAAATCAGAAGCACCATACCTGTGCCCTTGCATGAACTTCCCCAAGGAGGCCTGAGTACTGCTGTTCCAGATACTTTTTTTCATTCTGCCAACAGCTTGCCTGTGCTTTCATTTGCTCAGCCATTTTGTTAAAAGCATCTTCCTGGCTCTGCTGAAGCTCCTTCATAGTATTGGACTTGTTTTTACAAACATATTCCAGGTGAGATATCTGTGTGACAAGCATTTAAAAATAAATTCTTTTACTTCTCTAAACACCTTTTTACTTTATGGTGCATATCAGTTTAACCACAGAAAATCCTGGCATAAAATCTAAACTGTAATTCCTTCAATATATTAATTAAAACTAAGTCTTTCATGACAGATTATTTACTTGAGTTGTGCAACAAAATGAGCAAAAAATTAGATTCAGTATTGCCATTGTTGTACCATATTGCAGATATTTGTTGCTTTCTTTGTTGAAAACCTGAACTGGACACTTCTCCTATGTTTTGGGTTTTTTTACACGAGCATTAAATCTTGTGTTGGCAAAGTACTAATCTAAGTATACCAGTACATTAGCAGTTTGCAAGAATTGCAAGTAATATGTAAAAAAACAGTCCTTAATTTAATTTCTGTTTTAGTGGAAAACCAAAACATTCCAGATACTATTAAGCATTAAAAGAATTTCAGGACATTTTAGCATACAGAAGTTTTTTTCAAAAAGTACACATGGATTCACTCTGTGGATAACTTAGGAGCTCCCATGCAAACTAAATGGAGGAATGAATCAAAGTAACAATAATCTTTAAATCCACACACCTGCAATTAATTATGAGAGAGTATCAGCAAACTACTTTTCAAATATGTCACATAGAAATGCAAGAGGAAAATTTTGTTCCCAAGAAACCGGGTACAACACAAGTACTGTTCAAAATCCCTGAAAAGCTGGTAGGTATCTAAAAAAAGTCCTAGAGCCCTCACAGTCAATATCAACAACCATACTAAATTAAAAAGCAAGAAACATTATGACACAACATCCCCAAACACTGCCAATAATGTTCACTCCCTTCTCTTCCACTCCTTTTCCTCCTTTACTTCAAAAGTAAAACAGAAAAGTACATCAAATGTTCATTATACAGATTTTATTCTACCCCTTTGGTAAGGGAGTAGGTCCAACTGACTGCTGGGATATTCATTAAATGATGGGCAGAGTTAAAACAATTCACTGAAACCAGTCCTGCATCTTACTCAGACCAGAAGAGTGGTCACTCCTGAAGATGTAAAATCTTCAAAAGAAGATTATGAACCTTACTATGTCTCAAAAAATGTCAACACAGACAAGTTACGGAGTTGCTGTACTAGTCTTAGGACCGACCTGATCAATGGAACCAGAAAATGAACTGAAATTCTAAAGACTGTCATATGTTAGTCTGTGGAGTCAGTTTGATTTATTTAAAAGGAGATCTCCTCTTTCCTAAAAATGCAGGGATTTCTGGAGAGAAAGTCCACATAAGCATACTTACTTCCTGAAAAGTACAGCTCCTCCCTACAGCAAATATTGAAATGTTCTCTAAAAACAGATATTTTCTATTTGTGTTACTGAATATAATTCTACAATCCATGAGTTACAACTAAATGAAAAAAAAATATACTGTCATTCTTTCAAATGAAATAATAAACTCTGAATAATAAACATATAATTTAAAGATGATACTCCTTGAGTAAGGGCATTTTGTTTCAGTTTTATGGTAAAATAAAGACTTGCTTTATTAGTGTAAATGACTAAGTTCTTTGAATTGCTTCATCAGTAAGATTAATTTATTTTCTTTTAATTAGGTCCCTGTGGCTAATATTGGCTAGTACTATTAGCATGTCCTGCACTGAAAGTGGAGCTTAGAGACTTCATACAGACTTCAGTCACATTTACATGCCCACAGCAATGGCATCAAACTGAGTTGTAGACAAGCCATAATTAATGGTATTGAATTATTAACGTCCAAATTCTTTTTGAAATAAGATGAATGTCAGTCCTTTTTAATGATACTGCGATGTGGACAAATGTCACTGAATTTAATAGAGGTAGCTGGTGCCTAAGGACACTTACCTTCTCATTAGCCCTGTTGAGGTCTGAGATCAGGGCATCAACATTCTCCTGCAAGACTACACAAAGCTCAGGCCAAGAGAATCTATCTAGGATGCCTTCTGGTTGTTTTATAAGTACACAGCCTGCTATCAAATGCTGGTATAAGCTATGAAGGAAGGTTAGTTTCTCCTGAAACAAAAGGAGAATTACATGATGTATCTGAACAGTGTTAGAATTTAAAGACATGCATCGCATGGGCAGTAATATGAACTACATGCAAGTGAAAAAAAGCCCCCACAGCTCATTCAAAAGCCTTTTTCAAAATACCACAACTGCTAATATTTTCAGTCATACATATTGAAGCAAATGTAAGAAAACAGTTTTTACAAAATGTGCCTATTCAGACATAATATATAAATAGCTTATACAAATACAGAACAGTCCTGTTGTTATCACAATGACTATCTTATACAGATTAAAAATTCCATGCTATTAGTACATGCAATTTATTTATTTATGGTAAATGTTCAGTTATACTCTAACTACACCAACTTACAACAACTGCAGAGCATGCAGAAAATTCTCTGACTGACTTGGCAGCACAACACACCATTTATACAACTATCACTCCAAAGTCTTTTTAAAATTGTTTTTTATGGATTATATATGAGACTAAACGGCCAGATAAAATAGGCTTTTAGCTTCACAAGTTAAAATTTACAAACCATGACACATTCATTTACACTGATTTAAGTCAATAATACAATAAATTGTTGCAAGTTATAAATAAACTTCAGCAATAATCTCATGCTATAGAAATTCCATCCTTAATGCTTGTAGTACATATATGCAACTTAGCAACTTTAATTAAGACAACAATAACAAGGTGTACCTCAAAAGTCACAAGGACAAAGTCTGTAAACTATTGCAAAGGTTCCCATTATTTTCCATGGGCCTTGGTTGAGGTTTTACATTAAGAAAATAAGGATGGCCAAGATCAGAAAGTAGGATTTTTCTGAGCCCTTTCCATTACACTTAGGTGTACTTTCTCAATATTATCTTACAGTATTTTAGACAATTAAAAATAAATTGTAGTTCAGCTTAGTTTAACTTTGTTTCTAACAGACCTACAAATTCTCCAAAGAAAATCCAGTGTGCCACCATCATTACATTTGATGTTTGAGCTGTGATAAAACTAGGAACAGTAATTATACATTTGGCGCAAGAAACAGGATTCCAAGACCCCAAATCAATTCACACGTGTTGAATGCAACCACAAGGTTGTAGACATGCTGACTTTACAATATAGCCAGACTTCTAGTTTCCTCCACTTTAATCATTATCTGATGTGTGTAACAATTCCAGCTGCTTCATGTGGAACCTATTTAAATACCAGACTGTAAAAGAGGTGGAAAGAATGTTTCCTTTTTACTCAGTTGGCATCCATATCCAAATTTGTGGAAGTAATGAGCTCAATATGCACAACAACTACAAGTATATAATTGCTATTGCTAGTACAGAACCGCTTTATTGGGCAGAAAAAGCAACAAAATTAACATCTGTTAATACATATAAGGAGAGAGATAATAGTTCTGAAATAAGACATTGTAGATCGATTCCCACATATAGCACACCACAATTAGCTAATACATAAAAGGTAAGAATTTCTAGGTTTTGTGGCATGCATGCAAAACTACCTCAATTCCATATTTGCTATCTATAAATTGCCATGTAGATAAGTAATTAACACATGATAATGACAATATTAGATGTTTCAATTGTAAAACATTTCTGCTAACTTTTAATTTGAAAGGAAGAAATAATTGTTTGTCAGGCATAGGTTTTTAAATAAAATCTGTTTTTCAAGAATTCAAAATACTGGAATGATTAAGCTATTAGTTCTGATATAGAAGAAAAGAGAACCAATATGTCCTGAAATCCTGTAGATATTAAACACATATTTCAAAATACATATCTTAAAATCATATTTTAGAGATAAATCTCTTAAAACTAAGAGTAACCATCTGATGTATGTAAATGTATAAAGCTGAGATTAAATAAAGACTCTTTGACAGTCATCTTGTCTCTAGTAATACCTCCATATCCTTCTGGTAAGCCCTGGTAAGCTTCTGGATTTCATTTTCAGATTCTGTGGCACGTACTTGCTCTTTCTCCCAGCATTGCTGTACATCCTGTAGTTCCATTTTTAAAGTTTCTATTAAAGTCTCTCTGTCTGCACACTTAGAGTGCAGATAGTTTAACTCTTTATTGGCATCAGCCATGGTATCCTGAGCTTCCTATAAAACAGAGGGATTTAACAGAAAAGCTGGTATGAATTTTACTACCTTATTCAAGTGTTCATCACCTGAGGAAAGAAAGAGTCATATAAGCACATGTATTCACAGGATTCCAGGCTAGGTGGACTTTTTCTTTCAAGAACAGAATTTCAAAATTTACAATTTTGAAATTGGATTTCCAATGCTGTCTAGTAGCAAGCTGTTGAAGAGGTCTCTTCAAAACCCTGCAACTAGACAGCAATGGAAATCCATCTCTAAGAGGTAAAAGCTCCATGATGCAGTAATCTTCACAGTCCCTTCTGCCCCCAAAAATGAGATGCAGAACACAAGGAACTTGTCCTCTGCAGAGTGCAAAGCTCTCAGACCTATTCAAAAGATACATTATTTTCTTAAGTGAATCCCTGATCTGTTAGGGCTGAATCTGCAAGCAACACAACTTCTGTTGTGCATTGTATTCTATACATGCAAGATAAAAAAAGTGAGGGCTCTCTTTGAAGGCTTGACCATGGGAAGTAAGTCATAATCAGAAATGGTCATAAATACCATTATGTTACCAGCACCAAAATCTCACCAGGTAAACACAGAACTTAATACACTATCCCTTTAGAGCCAAAATATGGTGCAGCTACACTGGATTTCCAGCGCTGCTAAAGTTTGCAAAAGGTCAAACTGAAAACATTGTTTATTTTTCATAAAATCATAGCTTCATAGACCATAAAAATCATACAAAAGATACCACCAAATTCATCAGAAAATGACAAGTTTCTAAATAAAAACATTAAAATATTAAAATAATTTTAGATTTCTAATACATATGCTTTCAGACTGGATCTATTACCAAAAATTTAGAGAGATTGAAAACAGGCAAGTTGCATAAAAACTGGTACCCTGTGTGTGTAGCAAGCTCAGTTTGTGTGTGAAGAATACAAGTATCATTTGCAAAGGGTTGCAACATTTTTAGGTGACTTAAAAAGGTGCTGTAACAGAAGCAGAAGTACTAAATCTCCTGAACATAAATTAGTTTAAGTTCATAACAGGTAACAACACATTATGAACAAGTATCCATTAAAGTGAAGATTCAATGAATGTCACAGAGCAGCACTGCATAAAACATAAAGCAGCTTATCATCAGCAAAAGAATCTGAAAAATGCTGTGTTTACAGACATTCTATTTTGGCAGTAATACAATACACTGCTAGTTGGGAGATTAAGTTAAAACACAACCTCAGGACTTGCTCACTCCCTTGGCTATTGATTTAGCCAGACAGGACATTACAAAAGTGGTGTCAGGTAAAAAGAGAAAAAAGAATTTTTGTTCCAAAACTAAAGGAAAGTGCTCTGAATGACTCAAGTGTTTTTATCTCAGAAAACTTTTACTCCAAGAAATTTTAGGCTGCAGACTTTACAGCTGTTAAAGACAACTTGATGCATCACATGCATTGACCTTTCTGATAAACACAAACAAAAAAAATAACGAAAGAATTGACATCTTTAATAAAACATACCTTCATAAGCACAGAGGTAATTAATTCTCTTTCCCTTTTCTTGAGAAAAACAGTTAAATAAAAAAGATTACTGATAATTATTTCAATATAAAATGATACCCTGCAAATTTATCAATGTATTTTAATTATTTCAGAAGTGCAATCATTGAAACTATGTACTTTATAGTGGTAAACAGGATAAAGCAGCATGGTTTTACACAAATTTGCAAGGTAAACTAGTTTTCTCAACAGACTACAATGATATAAAGACTTAATCTGATAAGAAAAAATGGTACTTTTAATCCAGAAAGACATCTTTTGCAGAATGTTCAAACTTCATGCTAAGTTCATTAAACCATACCTTAAGGTCTTGTCTTAAAGCACACATTTTCTCCTCAGATACCTCAAATTCTTTTGTCATATTTTTATACAAAATCTTCATTTTCTCAAGCTGCAAAAAACATGAAAATCAAACAGGCTTTTACAGAAAGGCTGCGATGATCTGTTAAATATAATAGAAAAGAAGAATTTTGTATATGAAAGTAAAAAACCAAAATTTATTTCAATTCCTTGGAGAGCTTTTGTACTTCATACAATCTAAATAACATGCCATTAAAAAACACTAAATAACTCTTTTATAATGATTTAAAATAAAGAGTAGTGACAGAATCCCAAACTGAATCCATTCTTACCTATCCTACCAACTCTCGAAATATCTGACAAAAACACAGATTTTGAAATGCACTTGAAAGCATAGTAAATTCAGATAATGATCTGGGGAGTGGTTGGAGAAAACAAGTTTTCAAGTCAGTGGCCATTTGCAGAAATTGCCCAACTACAAGCTTGATTCTTTACTGAGCACTGGATAGTACTCACATATTGTAAAAAGCAGCAATGTACCACAGAGGCACAGTGACTTTTAGGATTAAAAGCAAAAGCAATCTCAGAGGTTGCTTAATGTGTACTAAGGTACCATCATGTGTACTAGTTTCACTTTTCCCTTTCAAAAATGGTAACAATATACCAAAATAATCTGTATTTCTGTTTATACGATGATACTGCTAACACCTGACATTTAAGGAGCAACTCAGAAACAGAACACCTCATTTACAAAATTTATTAATTACATTTAAAATGTTTATTTTTATATTTGATGTCAGGAAACTTGGCAGACCCCTTAGAAATAATCATAGTAAATTAAAGAATGCTATTGGAATATTTCCAGTCCTTTTACTGGTTTACTAGGCTTTTCCCTCTATCCAAACATATTCTGGTGTCTGCACTATATGGAAAGCCAGAAGCTAGTTATCTACAAAACCCAAAACACTTCTACACCTTTCTAGTTTGTTAGTTTGTGTGGCTACACAAACTAACTAGATCTTTTAATCTAATGTTTAACATAGTAAGTTAAAGATGATGCATGACAAGTTTACCAGCGTATTTTGCATATATATACAGGTGTACACATACATTAATAAATTCATCAATATGTGGGATCTTGTTGAAAATCTTTTTATAAAGAAAATTACTTAAATTTTCATACTGTTGTGTTTCATACTAAAACCCTTCCTTATAGTGTATTAAAACATCCCAGTTTTATTGCACAATGCCCTTCATAGTCCCCTTGTGCATTATTGTATTATTAAAAAGTTTTATTATTAAACATATCTCACACATAAAAAGCCAAAAGCAGCATTCTCTGTGGGGGTGGGGGTAATCAAGAAGGACAGAGCTCTGCCCTTTCTGTGCACCATGAAGGTGCTCAGTGATCTCTGGCTCCATATGACAACTTCAGGGTCAGTCACACGCAGTCCTACTGGGAAGTCTTGTGGCAGGTCATCTGTTGGTCCTGCTCTGCTTGCGATTTATTTTCCTTGACAGTTCATTCTTCTTTCTGTCAGAACACTCTCTTTGCTTTCTTAGAAGCCACCCCCTTGGTCTCCCCACTGCTGTCTCTGGCACAGTTTCACAACAAAGCACATCAGTAAGCCAAAGCCTGCTGAGTCGACTTTTCAACTGTGCTGTCTATCACGTGATGCTCCTCCTCCCAAATAACAATTCGCTGTGGGTAATATGTTCCTAGTTACTTTACTCTTCAGCTTCCAGACTTGGGTCTCAGAAGAGTTTCATAATGACTATACACATCAGTTCTCTTATCTCGCTGGGAGAGACTTAACAGTGCTTGCTGTTTAAAAAGTATAATTGTTACCATGGTCACTTATTTTTGTGCCCCATGAACAAACTCAAAGGTCTTGTGGGAGACAGCATTCTTTTTCCAATAAAAGGGGCAAAACTGATATACTTTTTTTTTGCTTTTTAATTTTTTTAACCTATTAAGTGACTAGCTAGACTATGCATTTGTCAAAATAAAAGACAAAACCTAGAAGTGAAATAGAGTGCTGGCACCTTTACAATCTCATCACACCTTGCCTTTCTGTATTTACCAGTTTTATTCAAAGACTAATCACAAGTTTGTACAAAAAGCTTTAATGGTGCAGTTAACTTCTTTCTACAGCCTTTAAAGCCACTAATGAATAAAACATTTACACCCAAGAGGAGTAATTTAGTCAGACTACCAAAACAGACAAGAAAATAAATACAAATCTGTAATTTCTCAGTCAGTAAAATGAAAGGACAGCAGGACTGCATGGAAAACATCTGATTTTTTTCAAGAGTAAGATTCCCAAAATTGAAATATTTCCAATATATTATTTTCTTAGATAACTTAAAAACAGTACTCTAACAGTCCTATTTTAATTGAAATGATATCAAAATAGCTCCCAAAGAGTATCCATTGAAAATACACTCTCCTCAGAAAATTATACCAGTTTTAGAAGTACAGGGGAGCATAATAATTTACATGCCTGATACAGCAGTGACTACTGAGGCTCAACCATTGTGTATTTAGGAACATTGCTGTATGTGCAGTTGCCCTCTTAGATCATTATCTTTTAACTAAAATCCTGTTTATGAATGACTTGTTATCCTAAATGTTTTTTAAAAATAACCCCGAAAGATTGAACAAGAAAATGAAATTAAACTAGAAAGACAAAAAACCTCTTCTCCTGGTCCTCACAAATGTGAAACTTTACTGTAGGGCAAGCTTAGAGAAATAGTAGCAACAGAGATTTTTTCTTCGGGCATACTTGAAGCTGTCAATTCAACATTCCCACTCTTCAGCCGTTTTTTTACAAGTGAAGTGTATGTTCTGCTGCAGGCCAAATGCAATACATATAGCGCCAAACATTGCAAGTGTTACCTCATTAGACGTATCTTCCAGCTTGTTCTGGTAAGCTGTCAAGGTACACCTCAAAGTCTCAACGACAGAGCAGCTCAGAGGTTTATCTTTGTCCTCACAAGTGCCTGAAGGAAAACACAGAACAAAAATTAAGCCTTAAAGCCACAGAGAGAAAATTACTCACCCTGGATGTGAGGTATTAGAATTAGTTAGGGCTTCAGTGACAATAAAGAACACTGAAGCCTTTTTTGCCATAAGAGATGCAGCTGTATAGCCATGCTTTCACAGCAATTATAGCTGAAAGACACTTGTATAAAACCTTTAATAGAAGTTACAGAACTGTTAATTCTGGATTACATTTATACCTAATGCATTTGGTATGCAGTCTCACATATTATTTCTACTGTGGTCAAGACTGTGTCATTCAGTCAGACAAGCAAACTTCGAAACCACACAATTATATATGTTGAAAAACATCTTGTCTGAAAGTTAAGAATGTTACACTTTTCCTGACATTATTTTGCAGTTGTGACTAAGCATGCATATAGTAATGCAGTACTTCATTTACTTAAAGCCTTACCAAGCCAAAGATCACATGATTATGTTATGCTTGGAGAGGACTTAATAACGTTTTAAATTATCTTGAAATTTATTTTAAAGGAAATGAGAAAAAAATATTATCTGTCTGCAGAGTTCTATGTAACAGTTCAATTAGAAATCCGATATATCCATTACATACATACTAAACTCATTTATTAAGCCTTTAGTTTGAGACTTCTGATCTTGTTGCCTTAATTAGGGACATATGAACAAGTCTGACCATTCCAAAGTGCATAGAACAATGTGCCAAGAAAGCAAAACAACACTGTATTGATCAAGAGGTCACAAGATGTCAGCTGATACTCAGTTTCCAAAAGCAAACTCTTCTTTTTTCCTGGTGTTACACCGCAATACTAGGTTATTGACAGACCATTCTTCTCAGCATTATTTCTACTCTTAAGAAGCATTTATCGCTTAATTTGTAGCAAATTATAGTATCAACTTTTCAACAATTTTTAACATGTTCAATATGCAAAACTATCTTTACTAACTCTAATAGCAGCCTTATTTTGCAAAAGTGAAAATATCTGTGGGATTTTAAATCCAGGGAGGCTAAATCATCATAATTCCCAGCATAACTAAACAATGATAGAGATGTTTAGCACCAGTGTCATTAAGCAATTTACACAGAGTGGCTCATAAAGTCAAATCAGATACTAAAGTCTGAGCCTTTTCTTTGGTTGTCCATAAAACATTATCAGAGGAGTTCTACCTACATACTTGCAGGGCATTTTTTAAAAATTCTAGAATTAGCATCATCTAATAAGCATAACATTCTACTAAGGTATTGTATACAAATGATGAAATTCCTTCTGTAGGCTACAGATAAAACACCAATATTATTCAGTGGAAAATGTACTTAAGTGCACAAGTCAGAATGTATTGCCATCTGCTCTTCACAAAATTCTTTCTGTTAGTTAGCCTCTTCTCTCCTGACTTTGGATAATACCAGAAAGTATAAAGTGCTATTCAGGCTGGACTAGCTGTTACAGTCAAAGTCCCACCTATTCAAAGCAACACATATTTGCAAGATTGCTTTCAGTAGAAGGAGCAAGATTGGCTCTACAGCTCACACATCCCAGTGACAGACCTCTGTTTTATCAGCCATTCCACCTACTTACCAGTTTCTAAAAGTCTGTAAAGTCAGAGAAAAAACAAGAGTTTCTTAATGGCACTTCAGAGCCCCGTGAATCCTAGAGATATCCCAAATAACAGTGTTACACTTAAAACGAATCTAAGGAGAATTCATAAAATCTGACGTCTTTTGAGAAGTCAAAACTTCACATTGAAGAAAGTGGCAAGTGTGACCTTACCATAATTTTTATCACATAACGATAGCTATAGCTATGCACAGAGCTCCAGTCTAGTCTTCTCATTTACAAGACCAACCTCTCACTACCACCCATTGTAGGAATATTCTGCATTGATCTTGTTGCATAAAAAAAGTAAAGATTATTTTTTCATACTTGTAGCTCTAGCAAAGTGATAACACATAATTCTCATTCAGTTTAAAACAATACCTATTAAGTCAATTCAAGAATTATCTTCCATACCATAGTTTTTGTCAAACTGTCTAAATAATGTATTTTCATATTCTAAGTCCAAACCTGCAATGATGTAATTAATATCTTGTTTGCCAAAATTAGAATTTTGCCAATAAACTTTTCATGCTGTCATTCCATGCCCTTGCTGTAACCCTATTTCTAGGCAGATCAATCTGCCAATAGAAATACAGATTCAGCCTATCTGCATTAGCTGAATACAAATCTATGGCTTTAATGCTGCCCAAATATTGTCTAACTTCATACAACTGTGCAGAAGGCACACAACATAACTGAAATGCACTCTATTGTGGTAGAAGCACTATGTCAGCAATGAGATAAAAAACCCAACCTAGTACTTGAAGTGTACACCCAGTATTGCCCAAGAGTTTGAGGGAAGAATTTGGGAAAAATGCCAAGATCCATACAAGTCTTACAGAAGTATACAAGTGAATAAACTCTTAAATCTGCTGTTCCAGACTTCCTGCTAGCTGTACTGGGTCAAGGGTAGGAAAAGCTATAATTTTCTTCATAACAGCTCACATGGTGCTCTGTTTTAGATTTTTGGCCAAAAAAAGATGATGCTAACTCAAAGCAGCTAACACTCTTAGTACTTTGCACTCATTTCACCTTTTTTTCAGATTACTACAACCACAATTCCTTTTTTCATGGAGGCAAACATTCCTAAGAACATACCCTAGTGCTGAATAACTGCACAACGAGATAAACTGAAAAGATACAAAGTGAATTCATGCAAGTGGACCAATAAGAATAACAGTGCTCTGGAAAATTTATAAAGGTCACTGGAAAAGGAGAAGACATGGATTTATGCTTGTTATTTTGACATGCATAAAAAAAAAAAGAAAGCTTTCTAAAACTATTCAGGTTTTAATCTCTATTGGGTTTGCATGGGCTGGTTTTTTATAGTGGGGGGGACTTCAGGGGTAGCTTCTGTGAGAAGCTGCTAGAGCTTCCACCACATCCAGCAGAGCAAATCCCTTGTGGCTCCAAAGATGAATGTGCCACTGGCCAAGGCTGGGCCAATTAGAAATGGTTATTCTGTGATAGCAGGTTTAAGAATAGATCATAATAAATGTTGTGACACCATTTTAATTGTCACTACAGAGAAGCAGGAATGAGAGCAAGAGAGAAGAAAAACTCAGCAGACATCAAGTGAAGAAGGGACAGGAGGTACTCCAGGCACTGGAGCCCACACTCTCTGCAGCCCATGGTGCAGCCCATGGTGAAGCAGCTGTGCCTGTGCAGGGCCACAGGGATGCAGAGATCCACCTGCACCCCGTGGAGGAGCCCCACATTGAGGCAGGCAGATACCTTGGAGGAGGTTGTGATCCTGTGGGAGGCGTTGCTGCCAGGCTGGAGCAGCTTGTCCTTGGAGGACTGCACGCCATGGAAGAGTGACCCATGCTGCAGCAGTTTTGGGAGGACTGTTGCCTGCGGGATGGGTCCCACTGCAGCAGTTTGGAGGGAGCTGTTGCTGATGAGATGGAGCCATGCCGGAGAAGCTCTCAGTGAACTGTCTCCCATGGGAGGGACCCTGCGGTGCAGCCGGGGAAGGACTCCTCTCCCTGAGCAGCAGGAGTAGCCATGGGTGATGGACTGACCATAACACCCATTCCCTGTCTCCTTGTGCCAACTGGGCAGGAGGTACATCTCACAAGGTGGGAGGGGTGGCAGAAGGTGTTTTTTTAAGGGTTTGTTTTACTTCTCTTTATCCTGCTTTGATTTTGTTAGTAGTAAGCTCACTTCTTATCCATAGCTTAAGCCTGTTTTGCCTGTGATGGTACTCGATGAGTAAACTCTTCTAGTCCTAACCACAACCCATGAACCCTTTGTTAAATTTCCTCTCCTCTGTCCAGCTGCATGAGTTAGCAGCTTTCATGAGTGCCTGGCATTGAACCAGCATCAACTGGGCTGATGATCAAGCCTATCAATAAAAATATATTATTATCTTCTCTTTACTGAATAGCCTAATAATCACAGTACTTGAATTAAGGGGCTGAATCTTTTAGAGTTGGATCTTTAATACTGACAGATTTTTAAATAGATCTCTCAATCCCTTGGGCTCAATGTTGACCACAAGAATGACTTCCCCAACACCTGTGGTTCATGTAGCCCCTCATCTAGTAATTAGAACGCAAAGATTTGTTTAAGATTTTTACTTTTGTTGGCCTGTGGGTATGCCATTTCCCATTTCAAATAAAATAACAATAATTGAAAAAAAAATTGAATACTATTAAATACAAAAATTTGTAAGTACACCACACTGATAATATAATAATGCAAAAGCATTAAAAATTAAGTTTCAAACTTAAAAGCATAGCAAATACGTAGAACAAGTTTTAGTCAATGTCTATTCTAATATTAAAACATTGTAATTGACTGTAAAGACTCAGTTGATCCACTGCAAAACTAAATTCTACTAACCACCTCAAGAGCCTATTCAGTGATCCTAAAGTTTTAAAAATATTATATATTTAACTTAGTTTAAAAGTTTGCCTCAAACAAAGCAAATTAATACTGAAGGTACTCTTACTGAATTTCTAATATTATATGAACAAGTCAAAGCTGTTCTCAGCAAGGCTTATCATCCAAAAGACAAATTGCTGCTTTGGAAACTGCACTTTGGCAGCAGCATCCAGCTCTCCCCAGAGTTACTTAAGCCCTTTTGAGCATGTGGAACTTTGCAAAACTGTGGATAACCTACACTCTTTAAGAGCTTTTCAACTGTAAACCTACAGACATTATCATGGTAATCACATTTATAATTAGAGAATAAAACTTATACCATCTCCAAAACAAAAAAGCATATAGCCTATGCAAGAAAATCATTGCATCACAGAATCGAAACTCACCTTTTAAGGACAAGAGAAATCCAAAGAAGTTGATTCTTTATTGAAATTTAATATCACCAGGCCCTAAAAAATATCCCTTTGTGAAGATACAAAAAAATGTATCTTTATTTAAAAGTGTTTTTAGCAACCCATTTATGTCTATTGTTGCTAAAAAGTGCAAAAAATATATTGTATACATAAAATAAACCCGTTTGCTCTGTAAGCTTCATTTTACTTGTTTTCTTCCAGTTTACTTACACTATACATTGGAAGCACTTTGTCTTCAGTATGCACTTTTTCTAATAGGAATTACAGTTTTAAATGAAGGTTTTTAAAAGTGTTCAGTTTTCAGCATTAAAAAAATCACTAGCTTGATGTTAAAGTTCAGCTTGTTTATGTTAGCCACCATTTCAAATGTCTAACAAGGCAGCAGTTTGTTAAGTCTGATACAATAATTATATATAAAGCCAGGCAGCGGAGTGACAGCCACTGACTTACAATTTATTTTAATGAAAAAGGGAAATATTCGTTCTGTGTCGAATTAAATGAACGCAACATAGTACAGGTCCACAATCAACTGTAAAAAGTATTGTGTTGCATCATGTGTCCTACACAACCTTTTTGAATATATGACCTTTAAGTTGCTGAAGGTTGACTCAGAATTTGGCTCAGTTCAGGCAAAACATCTGTTCCCTTTGCAGGTATACTGTAAGGACTTTTTTCTCTGTTGGATTTAGAGCACAGCAAGTGAGCCCTTTCCTGACCGATCATATACACCCCAGCATTTGTAAATCAAGCTCTGGGCTGACAACAGCAGGTCCACAATCCGTCACCCTTTCTCAGCTAGCAAGGCCATTTGACTGCTGTGAGAACTGCTCTTATCATGTCATCAAATCAAAGCATGTTGAGAAGAGGGAATGCAAGAGGCATCTGCAGAATTCCCACAATGTAGTGACTTTGGAACATTGACAGATGCATCTGTCATTTTATACCTTCAACTAACCTGCTGTCCGCTGGTCTGACATAGCAAAGCTGTCCAAGAGTAACTCCAGCTCTCTCATGTTGTTTTCATACGTCTCTGTTAGAAAGACCTGGTGTTTCTTGGCCTTTATTTGACAGGAAGAACAGACAAGACAAGAGGGGGTGGGGAAAAATCATTAAAATAAGTAAACAGAAGAAATACACATCACAATTATATATTTTTTCCTTTTAAAATTTAAATTTCTGCTGTATTTCTTTTTATGTCTTTTCTCGAGCCAAGAGACCTAACATGACATAACAAATAAGAAACTTGTAACACACAACATAAAACTAAAGGATTTCAAAAGCTTAGTCTTCATCATCTTCTGCTTTAGAAATATCTTAATGGATATTAAATTCTGTCCATCTATGCAAGCAGTGAAATCTATTGTTACATCCTACAAGGGCATCCAGAAAGACACCCAACTACTGGCAGACAGGCTAGAAATCCATTATTTGGCACTCAGTCAAATCCCACACCTATTCTCATTGCAAACCTGCCTACATCAATTGTTAATATGTTCCATGCTAGATAGGGATTTCTTCAATACCAAAAACTCATCCTTGTGCATGAAACATAAAGCTACAGAGCTCTTAGCCCCTATCACTGAATTTTCTCAAAGAAAGCTCTTCACTAAGTGCAGTCTATTGTTCAAATCAACATCAAATTTTTCGAGGTCAGAAAAGTTCTACAGCAGATTTTTTTAAATCACTACAATAGAAAGACTATACCAAATAACTCATTAAATTTATATCTGATATTATAACATGCAGTTCTCAAATATATGCATACATAATTCCAGATAAGACCAAAGTCCTTTTGAGTATATGTAGTTTTGACTTCTTGAGTATAATTTTAGCTGCTCACTACCAAAAAAGTCATATACCTCAGCAATTCAGAATACCTAAAAAAAAAAAAAAAAAAAAAAAAAAAAAAAAAAAAAAAAAAAAAAAAAAAAAAAAAAAAAAAAAAAAAGAAGAAAACCACCCTGCCCCAACTCAAGAGGAAACTAGATTTAATTACTTCACAATTTTCTTATGACAAAGGTTGTTGTCAAAGATGTCTCATGACTTCTAACTGCTCAATTTATTTCCAATCTAAATTGTAACACATATTTGTGTAATTTCCATTTCTACTTAACTTTCATGGAAAGTTAACCTTTTTTACTGAACAAAATTCTACTGTTTTCTATCATATCTAGAGACTGTTGCTTTAGTTATGCTTCACTGCATGTCAAGGAACCCAGGCAATTTCTTATGTGTGGGAAACATCCTCCCCAGGAAAACTGCTACATACTGGTAGCATAAAACTGTCAGGATAAAAAAAAAAAATAAGAAATGCATTTAATTCTCTGCAGTGTTCTTCACTATTCAGTTTAAATATTTTATAAATTTGCTTTACTCTTTCAATTTTAATTATATGTACTGTATATCAACTAATATATTATTCATATGTGTATTTCAGTGTTGGGTCCCCTGTAGCATTTACACGCTTTTCCTTGTGTGAGAGTTTGTACTACACTTCATAAAGAATTTCCAAATCACTTCTATATATTGAAAAATAACCATGGTTTAATTCCTTCTCCATAAAATTATCTATATAACTAGAACTTATAAATGTTGAGATGCAGTAAAAATATTTTATGGGATGCAAGCACAATAAAGTAATTTACTCTTGTGTACTGACATCATCTTAGAGACCTCACAAATTAAAATGAAGGAAATATAATGATAGGAAAACATCACAATAAGATAAATATTCTTTTTACATAAAATACTCCAGCATAGAGAAGGTGAAATTAAATCTTCTCAAAAAAACATTTTTCTATGGAAAACTAAATGTGAGAGTTTTTTCAATCTTCTCATCCAATTTTTCCATTTTATTTAGTTAATTTACCATAATTTAATTAGTATGTACCAGTCTATTCAGCCTTCGCCACTTCTCTATACTTTATTTGCTAACTGCATCTACACTTCTGAAGTCAATTTTAGTCCTTTTTTCAACAGCAAGAAAGATCAAAAGGAAATTACTTAAACTAGCCAGTCTCTCTACACTTGAACTGCAAAATATTTAGCATCTTTCCATTCTAATGTCTATATTCACCCATGATCAGAAATTTAAGGAAAAAAGTGCTGTAAATTATACTGCTAAAAATCCAGGCACAATCCAAATAGCTCTATTATTGATCTGATTTCTTATGTCTCACTGACAGGTATCTAATAAGAATGTATGTAGTCATAAAATCTTGAATTTAAACTGACAGGACCTATGGAGGTCATCTGGTCCCACTTCCCACTCACAGCACAGTATGGTCAGAGTCAGATTAGGCAACTCTGAACCTTGTTCAGTCAAGTTTTGATATCCTCAAAGATGACATTCCAACAAACCCTCCAGGCAACCTGTTCAAATATCTCATGATCTGCATTGTGAGGTTTTTTGTTTTCCCCTTACAGGTAATTATAACTTTCCTGTTTTCTCTTCTACTTCTAATGCACAGATCTAAGGAGAGCATAGCTCCATCTTCTCCACAAGCACCCACCAGACAGTTTACAGAAGTAGCTATTCTCTCCTTAGTTTTATTCAGTCTGAACAAATACAGGGAGTATGCATAATGCTTTACTTTGAAAAGGAAAACTGAGTGTCCGAGTACAAACACAATCAATTGCAGCTGACAGATTCAGCTGTTCCAAGAGATGTGATTACAATCGTTCCCAACAACTCCATCCATCAACATGCTTTGCCATTTCTGTAGAACTACTGGAGAAGTACAGGTGTAATTGTTTCCTAGGTTATTTCAAATGGGAAATCAATTTACAAGAAAACTCCTAAAGCCTTTTCATAAGGAGATTTTGCTTCACAGATCACATTAGTAAACAGGTGGAAGAATATCTGTAAACTCAATTAAAATTTGTAAGTCTTCTGCTGACTTTGTTGACTTCCTGTACACCAGAACAGACCATTCTTGACCTAGATAGTGATCCTTGAAAACAACCGTGAAAATCCAACAAAAGGTCTGTATGGATATGCAGGGAATTCCTGACTAAATTCAAGTATTAATAGGAAGCATAAAGAAGATTGTTCAAACATACTAAACTTGGGAAAATACATGCTTAAAGCCTAGAAGGATATGTTTAGGAATGGCAAAATCCACTTGGAGTTGAATATGATGTGGGATGTGAAGAGCAAGAGAAAAATATTTCTGAAGTACATCACCTGCAAAAGAAGGACTAGGCAAAATGTGGGCTCATTGCTAATGAGGCAGTGATCTGGTGACTGGAAGAAAAGGTCTTCTCATTGTTTGGGTTTTTTTTACCTCAGTCTTCACTCAAAGTACCTGCCCTTGGGAATTCCAAGTCCCTGAGATGAGTGAAATTTCCATGAACACTTGAGAACTTAGAATTCTCAACATATAAAGTATTTCACATAGTCCCCAAAGACATTTCCCTTCATCACAACACATCCCAGACTGAAGGCTAAAAATCTAATAACATGGGAGAAAAATAGTACTTCCTGAACCCAGAACATATGCTGCATTTTAGCACATGAAATGCTTCCTTGAAACAAACTTCATATCCTTAAAAAAGGCTCCTACTACCATAAAACAACTCTTGAAGACAAAAACCTTTTAGAAAAAAAAGGTGCTTGGCAACATATTAATTAAATCACCAATTTCAAAACAGAAATGAAATTTCAAATAAATTAAAGAGAACCCAAGCATTTTTCATTAAAAATACTGAAAACTCCAATGAGGAGAAAATCTTTTTTCCAAACACTTTCTATCCTTATCTATATTTTCTTTAACTACCAGTATTTGAATTTTGCTCCTGTTCTACAGAAATGATGCCCCATTGGTTTTGCATCATTTTGCAAAAGCCACAGTTGACTTAAATGAAAGTGAACTCTACACACAGTTCCAGGACAGCCCACAGAATCTAGTGCTGCAAATGTGCATCTGAATCTCAAATTCAATAACTTTTAAAAAATAAACATGTGGGCAGGACTTTAAGGCCTTACCTTAGCAAAACCACTGCCATAGTAAGCAGGGAGTTGGGGTCCAGCTATACAGTGAATAGCCTTAATTCCAGAGGAATTTTTTCTACTTAGTCTACAGTCACAAGGAGTTCCTGGGGAAGCTGTCTTGCACACGGACTTATTAACCCACTCAGACTCTAGCACAAACTCCAACTGGTGATGGCAAAGTAAGAGCCAAATCCAAAACTATCAACATAGCCACCAAGGAGCAGCATGTTCAGATATGCCTTGCAAAGTGCTTATGTAAATTCTTTACTACAGTATCAGAATGTTTACCAGACATGACCTTGAGGGAGCAAATCAAAGCATTTAGAGAAATACAAAAGACTGCTCCACAGTTCACAAAACACAGGCTTTACTCATGCGTTGCTCTGCAAAGCAGAAAAGTGGCACAAATTTTTCAGCAAAAAGGCATAAATTTTATTATAAAACCAAAACAAAACAAAACCATCACTGACAAACTCTCTCCTTGGGCTTCTATTTATTTTTGCTCAAGTTATCAAACTATTGAATACTTCTTTTATTTTCTTCTATCAACTGGAATATTCAAAAATCTCTAGAAGATTCTGGCAACATGTATGTTAAATACAATCTTTCAAGAAATTTAGTATCTCAATCTTACAAATTAATCAAAAGGCTCAAGTTTTATTGAAATCCTTCTTGTCCCTCCCCTAAAAAGAGATTTGTAACAACTTTTGCTGGGAGCGAATGTTATGAAGTATCTCTTTGGGTTTTGAGGTTTATTTTCTTGTCCAAGTCAGAGAAAAAATTTTGAGAACTTCAAATTTTAGATGTCTGTCTTCCAACACTAGGACATCAGAGCTTGAGTGACCTCTGCACTTCCCAAACAGATTAAAAAATTGTTTTGTTTGCAGAAGATCATTTAAGCATTTGCTTCAGACTAACTAGTCTTCTTACATTAGGACAATAATAGAAGTAATATCTAGGAAGAAAAACTCCATCCCTATGTTAAGGCTAGAAAAAAAACAGTCAATGCAGAATACCTTAATTAACGCACAAAAATAATGAAAAGTGTGTATCAGGACTGGAATTTTTTTTTAACTGAAAGAAACATCCACGTTAAATTGCCCATAACACTACATGTTTGCCACTGGGTACATTTCTACTCCACAGAAGTTGTAGAACAGAATCATAATCCTCAGGGTGCTTTATGGTCTGTTAAGTCAATACCTAGGCAACTTCTGCTAAAGAACAATGCTTAATGTGTACATCCTGGAACTAGATTCTCAAAATTTCTGTCCTGACATTCAGTGTACAATAACCTACAAGGTGTTTATGGACAGCTGAGACACAAACAGAGCATGACTTCAGGTGTGGCTGTAAGAGGAAGATTTACATGCCATGGGGAAAAAGACAAGCTTCCAAATTAAAGGAATTTATACAAAGATACAAGATTTTAATTATTTCACTTTTCTAATATGCATTCTGATGAACTGGCAAGTTCCCCAAATTTCAATTTGCATTTCTCATAAAATAAAGGTTTAATATCCTGCTTGTTCTATGCTAAAATAATCCACTACTAGGTACTAGAAATGTAAATATCCTGAGTAACTTAAAACTCCTAAACATACCTCTTATTCTTTCCATGGGGCAGAATATAGCTGGGGTTGTTTCAATTTAAATGAAGTGTTAAATCACAGTAGCCATGCTAAATTCCTGCTCCTGAAACTAAAAATTTCTAGACACCATAGCTAGATAATGCCAAGCTTGACACCATTTTCCTCAAGTAAACATAATGTAAATATTGAGAGCTTTCTTATGCTGAGCATTCATAAGCAATTTTGTTTGATAGTAACAGATCCTATCACATTTGACCCATGCAAGTTTCTGACAAACTTCTGCAATATACTGATATTTAAAATTACAAGCAGACTACTTTACTGTACATTCAACTGATCTACTACAGAAAAAAAGCACTTTTTCATATAAAGTTTCAAATTAATGTACTTTATGTATCTTACAAATATTTTACAAACGAACCCATTAACTTGTATGTTAACAGTTCTGTGAGAAACCAGACTGAAGTGGAAAAGATATATTCAGGATATCTAATAATAGTACAAAATATAAGAAAGTAATTAATATATCAAGAAAGCAGGACATGGAAATAAAGGGAAGAGAATGTACTGACAATTTCACACAATTTTAGTATAAGTAAAGGAAAGCCTAATAACAGTATACAGCCGTCTGCTTTTTGATTTTGGGAAGAAAAATAACAAAGAAACTGCCTATACTGAGTAAACAAGACCACACACAGGCACTTCTACTTCCCAATCAAATACAAAAGTGTTCAGGAAAAATAAAAACCCATCCAAGGTGAAAAAAATCTAATACCACAGGGGACCACTAATACAACTCTTCAGAAAATGAGTATTTTTATTACCTGTTCAAGACAGTCTTGTGGCTTGAAATCATTCCAGTAAAACAATTAAAAAAACCTGCTATTTGAATAAGACAATTCTTTCAAGTGGGGCAATCTATTTCCTTTTACTTTCAGTTACAGAATGTTCGAGTACACCATTTAATACTGTTGTCATTACCAAAAAACCTGACACATGAATAGAATTTTGTCCTGAATTCTTGTCAAGTATAACATACATTTTACTATGGAATTTTATTTTGTATTCTTTTTGTGCCTGATAAAATTACTTTTTCAGGTTGACTAAGGTAGCAAATGTCTTTTAATACTTTAGTGCTTGCATTGAAGAAGCAGTGTCTTCCCAAAGGAAAAACAGTTTTATGGTTTTATTTTTCTTCAATTTATTAATCACCAATCTACCTGGAAAGTGGATAACACTAAGACAATATATGGAATAATTCCATCAGCTGAAGAGTAGACACCAACAAATCTGAAGACTCTCTGATGCACATCTCTGCTCCTAAATACTGAATAGCACAATGCCTACTAATAGCAGGGAAGAGATTGTGGTAATCTCCTACACTCATAGATCCAAGAGGAAGGAGGAACAGAAATTTACAATAGAAAAAACAAATGGCTAAGTATAGAAATACTTTAAATGCTACAATGCATTTACAATGAAGAGAGATAAGGTTTTCTAGATCATAGAATTTGTTTGGAAGGAACCTTAAAGTTAATCTAGTTCTAATGCTAGACCAGGTTGCTCAGAGCCCAATCCAACCCAGCCTTAAACTCTTCCAAGAATAGGGCAATCACAACTTCTCTATTATAAGCTTCCTTGTTATGTTTCATAACTTTTCTGTTTTAAGTGCCTCACAGCTCTCACAATAAAGAATTTTTTCCTAGTATCTGACAAAAACCTCATTTAAGTTTGGAGCCATTCCCCTTGTCCTCTTACTACATGCCCTTCTGGAACGTCTCTATCCAGGTAGTTGAAGGTCACAATTAGGCCACTCCAAAGCCTTCCCTTCTCCAGGCTGCTTCACAGCAGAGCTGCTCCATCCCTGTGATAACTTGGTGGCCTCCTCTGGACTCTCTCCAACAGGTCCATCTCCATCCTGTGCTGAGGACCCCAAAGCTGGATGCAGCCCTGCAGGTGGGGTCTCACCAGAGCAAAGTAGAGCAGAGCAGAGCAGAGGGGTAGAATCCCTCCCCTGCCCTGCTGGCCAGACTGCTTTCGATGCAGCCCAGGATGTATTTGGCTTGCGTTTTTTCAGTAGGATCATATCCAGCCTCTCACCCACCTGCACCTCCAAGCCCTTCTGGGCAGAGCTGTTCTGATCTGCTTATCCCCAGCCTGTGTTGACACTGGGGGTTGCCCTGACCCAGATACAGCATCTTGTACTTGGTCTTGGTAAATAATGTGACATTTTCATGGGCCCACTTCTCTGGCTTGTCCAGGTCTTTCTGGATGGCATCCTCTCCTTCAGGTGTGTCAACTGTACCACTCAGCTCAGTGTCATCAGCAAATTTGCTGAGGGTGCACTCTCATCCCTTCATCTGTGTCATTAATGAAGATATCCTAAGCTTTTTGTTTCGACCCTCCTGCTACTAAAGAGGATGGCAAAATTGATATTCAAAGTTGGGTTGCTTAGAGACAGTGGGAAGGCACCAACTGGACATATAAAAGGAAAAGTATTTCAGAAAGTAATGCTGTAAAATACATGCAATACAACAAATGCACACCAAATAAAAGAAACCCCAATCAACTAAAAAGTTTGTCACCTTCAAAGAAGACATTTTCAAACAGTTTTTGCAGTCAAATGCTTGCATTAAAACATTATGTGAAATAGAAATAAGCAGGCCTACAATGGTAACTAATCAGGCCTGAGGAAAAAAAGCTTGGATAGGAAGATAGAACATTCTTCACAAAAAATCATAATCCATATCTACAAATTGCCTTCTTCATTAGGAATGCAAAGGCTGGCTACTCTTGACTCATAGCCTACTTTTGAAATAACTGTTTTCTGCAAATAATTCCTGAATGAAATACTTAGTTTATCACTTAAAACACATTTTGGAATTAGTTTCTCCAGTATCTTATCTATATTTACTCTTGTTTCACAAAACAAAGACATATAAATAAATGTCAGAGTAACGCATAGTCAGATTTATTCCACAGTTTAGCACATCAAATGCAGATTATGTTCAGAATATGTTTAAAAAGCCTAAAAAACAAGTGTCATAGACTTTTTGCCTTACCATTGCAAGTTCACTCTGCAATTCACTGTAGCTTTTTTCAGCATTCCCTAGTCTTGCAGAGAGGTCCATAATTACCTTCTTCTTTTCCTCGATCAGTTCTTTCATTTCTTTCATTTGATTGTTTGAGGAGTAACACTCTTTTTCTAATCTGAAAAAGTTTCAACATTAGAACATTTTAATCAAAGATACTTATGTCAAGTATTCTATGTATTTTTAGAAGACAATCTGGGTATCACACCATGTTACCACGTCATATGACTTACGAAGCTGCCTGTCTCTTTTTTTTTTTTTTTTTTTTTAAATGAAGAAATTTATATATACCTTCTAAGAAAAACTTTTCCGTTTCGGTTATGGTGATGTTCTTTTCCATTACCAAGGTTTGTGTTAAGACTTCCAGTCATAAATTGATTTTACCAATTTAATATAGACTCCAGATTAGACATAATAAACAGAAGTCATCATATTTTAATTAACACATTAGTTCTCTTCAGAAAGACATCACATCTTGCATCATCAGCACTGATTTCAAGTACAAAGCTTGCTCCTCAAGTTTCCACATACCTGACTACATTCTTACCCTTGTTCTGGCCAGAACAGGGTTATATTTTGCAGTAGCCAAGAGTGGGCATAGCTAGGACCTGGAGGTTATTCTATACCACCTCATGTCATTTTCTGGGGACAGAGGAAGGACTCCCTTGTGGGTAGCATGGCAGAAGGACTGGGAATGGTTGGGGGTTTCCACAGTGTGCAATCAGAGGTAGATCAATCACTTTTTTCCTTGTGCATTCTGTCATTAATATTGTTGCTGTTACAGTTCACTGTCTTATTGCATTGTAGTGTCCAGGAAAGTGTCCTTATCTCAGCCCATGACCTTTACTTTTTCTGAGTCCAATTCTCCTCTCCAGCCTGTCACAGAAGGAGGAAGAAGAAGGGGGAATGATCGAGCAGTATATGGGTTGATGTGTTTCTATAGGAACACTAAATTGGGGAATACCACTCTTAAACCATGACTATTCTACTCAGAATTGCATTATTTCAATAGCAGACAATTCAAAATTTCAACCAGTTCTTGAACTACATCAGTCCTCCTGGTATTCAAGAAAACAAATATATAGAAAGTGGATAAAAAGGTGTGTCATGAGAAAATTACAAGGCCAAACAACAGCAAATAGGAGACAGAGTCAGGGACAGGAAGCCAGGGAAAAATTTTGGAGGATTGCCTAAGTATATAGGGATAGAAAGGAGGTGCCTCAGGAAAGGCACCTAGAACTAACATTCACAAAAGATGACCAAGATGAGAAGGGATTTTACCACTGTTACAGTAGGAAAGAAAACCTAAACAGACATATACACAAAGCAGCTATTTTAACAACAGCAGAGAGAGAAAGCCAGCATACTCCCTGCCTTTTTGTCCTCCATCTTCCCTGACAAGGTCTACTCCCAAGCCTCCATTGTCAGCAAAAGGACACTAAAAGGAGAAAAATTGCTAGCAATAGGTGAAGACTGTGTCTGAGATAACCTGTGAGAACTCAACCCATATAATTGAAGAGGTCAGCTCACCTACATTCAAAGGTTCTGATAAAGCTGGCTAATCTCAAAGTGGCATTGCTGATTATCATCATGAAGGGTCACAAAAACTGGGGGAGGTCCCTGGCAAATGAAGAAAAGCAAACGTACACTTATATTTGGCAAAAGTCAAAAGGATAAGCCAATGAACTATAAAGCACAGAGCTTCATTTCAGCCCTGGAAAGTTACAAAGCAATTCTTTCTAGAACAATTTTCTGGGCTCGTGAAAGAGAAAAACGTGATTGGGAACACTCAGGGAACTTAATCATACCTGACCAACCCTGTTATATTCCATGATAAAATGATCAGGGCTGTGGACAAAAGGAGGGCAAGTAGATCAAATATTTAGCATCTATAATATGATTTTAGCAAGGATTTTAGCATTTTTCACACAGTATTTTTATAGCTGTTACAACTTAAGACTACATATGTGAATTATAACATTGATAAAAGTGGTTTGATAGTAAAGCTCAGATGGTAGTAGTTGGAATGGCTGTAATACTGTTGAAGTCTAAGATCTGTTTAACAGTTTCAACCATCACCTGGAGTAAGCCAATACCTGCAGTGAACAGTGAACTAGGTGTCAGTGGATCATGACACCATACAACTGAACCCTCAACAGAAGAGCTGCCATTCTCTAGCGATGGAGAAAGAACAGGCCAGAATGAACCTTGTAACATTCAACAATGACATGAGCAAAGACCAGAATTTAAGGAAAGAAGACTACCTAAAGTGATGTGGCTCATAACTGTCTGGATAGAAGCTATGCTAACAAGAACGTGGTAACCATGACATACAGCCACAAATCAGCAGTGTGGCATATGAGCAGAGATAGCTAACACCATCCTGGACTGTATTAATAGCAGCATAGCCAGATGAAGGAAAGTGATTCAAGACCTTGTATTTGGCAGTCATTCCAACACATCTAGAATAATGATCACTTTTAACTACACGCACACCTCACAACACAGGAAAAAAGTTGGGGTGGGCTAAGGGAATGGCCACCACCATGACCAGCAGCAGAAATACACATAAGAACTGAGGAAACTTGGTATGTTCAAGCTGGAGAAGAGGTAACTCCATGGTATACAACAGGCCTCCCAGTATCTAAAAGGAGGTTATCAAGGAAACGTAGACAATTATCTCACAGCACTCTTTGTCTACAAGACAAGTACTGAATCCAAAAAGGTTCAAACAGGGGAAAATGTTTTCCACCAGTATGGAACAGGTTCCCAGAGAGATTGTGCCATCTCTATTCTCCACATTTTCAAGACCTAACTGGATTAAACCCTGAAAAACCTGATCTCATAGCTTATATTAGTTTGAGCAGCAGGTTGGACAACAGATCTCCTGCAATTCCTTTCAACCTGAACTATTCTTTGATGTAGCTGCCATCAGAAGAAACATCCAACAGAAACATCATCTCTTTTTCTCCTAGCACTCCTGTCTCCCTCAAACTGAAAGCAGTGCAAAGGGCTCAAAATTCTTGCAATTTTGAAACTTTTGAATCAATATTGTCGCTTTAATTTATTTGTGAAAGATTAATGTATCTTTTTAGTTGAAGGACTACTTCCACAGTCCACCAAATACCTATGTGCTTCTGCAACAGCCTGGCTGATTTTTGTTGTAGCTGCAGTCATTCACTTCTTATGCTTCAAAACCTGACTGTTTCAGTCCCCCAAAGTAGCTTCTACTCTCACAGCTTTCAGAAACACAGCAAAAGGAGTTCCAAATTATTCTATGTCATGTTCTCGCTCTTCAAGAACAGTAAATTCACACAGAGACCCAAATCCCATGTTGCTTCCAATTTACATAGTGCTACTGGGTTCAGAGCTAATTAATAAATTATGCAACCCAGAAAAGCCTGTTAGCTTGGTTTTGGTTATTACAACTATATTTTTTCTAAGAAAATAAAAAATGATACTGCCCAGAAAAGCCCATTTGCTTGGTTTCAGTTATTATAACTATGTTTTTTTCCTGAGAAAACGAAGTCTTACACCATTACATAGCTTCCAGCTTTGGCGTTATTTACCTACATCAAGTCCAGCTAAAGAGACATACAAGTGTTCTAGCACAACAAATGAAAGTCTCTAAGACTTTCATTTGGCTAAGGCTTAAAGACAAACTCATGCAAGTCCTCCAGAAAAAGAGAAAATATGTTTGGATGCCGAACTATGTCTTAAAAAAAAAAGCCAAGCTCCTGATATTGTCTGAAGTCCAAAGACCAGACCCTTCAAAGGTAAGTAGATCAAAGGCTGTTGTATTCTCTCAGAAGGTGTCCGGTGAAAGCAATCACTGATTTTCACCAATGTAACTGACACTTGTATGCTTCAAAGAATAAAAAGGGGACAGGAAACAGAAGAGGCAGTACTTTCCTACCCCATGTAATTACCTCAAGGGAACTGAGTAGATTGATGTCCATCTCAGAAAAAGCTCGACCTTCGCTACTTACCTTAATAGAGATCTGGAAATTTTGGTGTCTGGCCTAACAAAATTGTGAGGATAGCTGTTCATGTTTCTCCCACATCTTTTAACAAAACCACCAACTGTTTTACCTGTGTTTTAACTGTCTTAATTTTCATGGAAATGTTTGTGTTCTCTGAAATTGCAGAACACAATTTGCTTTCAAAAAACTCAGCTGGCAGAAGCTGCCAGAAGTAATTCCATGAATCAACACATGATTGCAAGCAGTGACAAATATTGTTTGGATATTAGACAACATTTATTCTCATATTCAGTCAAGATACAGAACAGATGCCTCAGGCATAAATTCTGTTTTATCCCAAAAAACCTCTAGGATAGGGCAAATTTCCTTCCTGATAAAGGAACACTGAACATAATTGTCCAGTTCAGAGAAAAAAGGGACGGCTTTTTTACATTCATCTTGCATTTTAGTAACTCAAGTTTTTACTTGTCTGTAAGTGCTAGTATTGAAATTCTTAAGGCAAATGGTACCATATCTGTAAAAAGTGTATTTCATAGTCTTAAGTACAAAAAATATACTTATTCAGGTATTTCCTGCAGTAATTACAAACAAAGAAATATACTCTGTAAAAAAACTCTTAGTTTTCTATTTTGATGATACCATTTTTCAAAGATGTAACTTTTGGGAATCAAAAATATCCTAGACACAAACCCCTTCAATACTCAAAGAAATATCTTCATATATCTAGATAAAAGATTCTCACAAAACATTATTGAATGCACAATACAATTTAACACCTAACCATTATCGTTATATTGGTCCAAATAAACTAATTCAGAAAAATATCTTTTAAGAGATTCTCAGAGACTTAACTAGAAAGCTACTACTTATAGGGATTCATGTTTTTAACTAAATTTACTAATCAAAAAATTTTAAAATCTTGTGGTAAAGCTTAAAAAATTCTAATGATTTGTAAAGTACCTAAACAGATGTTTAAGTTACATTAAAAATGCTGCTAATTAGCTAATATTTTATTAACATCTATTGGTTCCCAGAACACATCCATACTAACAGCTCCCTTACTGATTATAGGAAGCCATGTTATGTCAGCCATGTTAACAAGACAGGATAGTTTTTTCTAGACTGAAAACTACAATAGTTTAAGAAGCATTATTGAAAAAAACAAACTAAAAAAATCCACATTTCACTAAGGATGGTTAATTTTTCTGGTCTATCATGAATACAAAGACAAACCTTGGAATATTAAGTCTTGGAACAAGTGAAGAAATGGTTAAAGAAAAAACACTGGAAGTGTTTGAATCCTAGTTCAAGAAAACTTCCATAACATTAATTTTTATGTCTTCTGGACCTCTCAAATATGGGAACCTACCATAGCAAAAATAAAAAACTCACTACACCAAATTAAAAACTAAGAAAACCAAACCAAGACTGAAAAAAAGAACTAAAGTCCATATGCTCTCTAAGAATAAAGTTATATACAAGAAAAGCTCAGATGGTACAAAATAACCTGTGTTATGCAAAACTACTGATCAAACAACCATTCCTCAAAAAAAGGCCAGTTTGCAAACAAAGGAGCTTTTTAAATCAAAACAAGAAAAATTGAATAAATTGTCAAATCAATGGTCCAGGCCTTCTCTATTTCAAGGAAAGGCAAAGAACTTAGTATCAGTTTAGTGTCATGTATTTACTGACAGAGAACCCATGCTCACAGCAAAAACAACCAGGCAGGATGAGATTACAGTTTAATTAACTGATGTTATTTTAGAACTTTAGAGCATTTTGAAATATACTTACTCAGTTTCACAGCTATGAAGACTGCAGTCTTCCTGAAGAAGAATTTTAGATTACTAGCATAATGTTTTACACATATTTTATCATAGAAGTTATATCTTTTTCTTTGAGAAAAGTTTCCACTTTTTAATGTGACTTTGATTTCCCTAAATGCACATCAGGCCTCTTTTGACCTTTTTTTTAATAAAGAGTTCTAAGATGTTTATAATACAGCACAAGTTTCAACTATATTACTAAAAACATATCTGTAAGCATGAATATAGGAACACTTGGGCCACAGAATTCCTTTTTTGTAGGGAAACCAATTTCTTTTTTCCTCTCTACTGCTTGTATGAGTAAGTTACCACAAATATTTTTATGTACAGACCCCCCATATTCCTAGACTAAGAGATGCAAACTGTCTTTTTCAACCCATTCTACCTCTCTCTCCCCACAACCCCACTGTGTGCCACCCACTTCGTGTCTTCTAAACCCCCTCTTTCCCTAAATTTCATGAACTACAATCCTTTATTTCATGTACTCCTCAGTTCTCTGTCTTCCAGCACCATTCTTCCTGATATTTTCTCACCCTAATAAAAACTTCATTCAGCTAAGGAAGAAGACTCAGTACAGTGTATCCTATATCTGCCCAGGATATATAACAAAACCTTTCTTCCAAAAAACATCTGTTACCATGGACACAGTAGACTGTGCTGAGCAGAAAAGGAATCCAGGTAATTTCATCTGCTCCCATACATTTAATCCCTTCTTCTATATTTGTTAGCTAGTCAACACTTTCCACAATCATTCAAAAGCTGAAAATGAAGATTCACCACTATAAATGATACACAACTTCTTAACAGAGTCTTAAAGATTGATCTATCTCAGTGCAAAATAATATTTTCATAATAATGTAAGTATATACAGAAGAAAAAAATCTGTTCTAACCCTGCCAAGTGTTTCCTACACTCATTCCAAATACACAGGAGACAGGACCCTGCCATAAGTAATTTCCAGCATTTTTGTTTTGGCAAATAATTGGTAATAGATCAGTTATTTTCTTTACCCACCCATATCATTATTGATATGGACCTGTTATTAATGGAACACCAGGCTCTGAATTTCAGGTTGGTTTGGGAAATTGTATCAGATTTAGTTTTTATACTGACTGAAAACTATATAAATGTAATCTCTAAGTGGTAATCCAGCCGTCTACTTCCATTTTACAATAAATTTAAAGGGAAACTTACACATTGAGTTTCTCCAAGTTCTCTTGGGCATTGTGTTTTTCTCTCTCATATGCATATTCCAACCCTTTGAACTCTTTCTTGATAATTTCTAAATCTGAAAGAGCTTCTTCTCGTCTGTCCTTTTCCACACGCACAGCTTCTTCAAGTTCTCGAATTCTTAACTACATCAAGTAATAAAAAAGCAATTAAAGCAAGTTATGAAACACTTACTTGATCTTCTATGGTCTGTTCTGCTTTACAGTAGAGTATATTCTATTAATTCAGTATAAAACCATATACACATGTAAAAAACATTGAACACGTGTAAAAATTTAAGAATACATACAGTTCAAACCAGAGACAAATAGATATGACAATGAAAAGTACCCTCTCATTTGGAGGTGTCTGAACATTTTCAGTTCTTATTAATACTGAAGCTTTCCAGGGAAATTCTAGTTTTTAAATAGACTCATGAAGTGTGGGACTAACAAGAAAGACTACACTTTCTCTCAGAACAAAGCACACTTCTAGCTTGTTCATGTATATAAACAAGGAAAAAGACCTTATCAGTTATTCATCCATAAAACCCAAGCCTCTAAGTTTAAGGAGTGTTATCCTCTCAGTTCTTTTGTATGTTGCAGACTAAAGAGGAAATTAAGCAAACTAAATCTTTTCCAGTTAAATTATCACTTTCAAAATTTACGTGCCTGTACATACAGAAGATCATGAAAATAAGAAAATAACTGACTGGAGAATGTCAGTACTTACTTTTGTTACTCAGAAAATAGGGAAAAAAGATACCAAATTCCCTTCTTTTTTGTTTAATCTTTCAGAAGTCCAGCAAGTTTTTTAACTAGTATGATATTACTAAAAAATCAACCATTTAGTTGTTTCAAACTTTTTTTAATACAACATAATTATTTTACTGATAAATAAACTCTGTGTGATATAGCTGCAAAACATTAATGTTCAAGTATATATACTAGATTTATTCATATAATCAACCTTTACTGGGAACTGCAAGTATCATAATTTTTGGAGCAGACAAGTTGGATGTATGCATTGTGTTGCCAAATTGCTCTAAGTAGCCATTCAGAAGATACAGGGCAGGATATTTAAACAGTAGTATAGTGCTTTCCCTAACTGTTTAAATAGTAACGGGAATTCTCAAACTTACAAATACGACATCTTATTATTTTTTCTAATAACTTTATAGTTCAAGCAGATACTATTTTATTCTGTCCTTATATGTTTTTGTTTGTTTGTTTATTATTTATTTATTTATTATTTTGACATTTACTGTAATAAATATATTTAGGTTTTTCACTGGAGCAAGTGTTCTGCATATTTTTGGAGCATTATATCTTCACAATTTCCTCAACAATTTTACTGTAAACTTCTACAATATATTTAACAAAAAGTTTACCTGGATGATCTCTGAAGTGAAATTGGATGCTAAATGCGCTGCTCTCTCTGCTTCAATGTCTTCTTCCAGTTTCTTTGTTCTCACTGCAGCTGCCTAAAAGTACATTTTGAGGATATTTAAGTTCAGAGAGAAGATAATACAACACCAGCTTTATTCAACTCATTAAGCATATTGTGACTCCATCCACCTACCTGATATATATGAACTACTTTGGAACTGTGACAACTCATACCAAGAAACACATATAACAACATTTTTTACATATATGGATTATTAAATTAATATTTTCTATTTAGTTAAGTACATTTATGCAGTATTATGTTATTGCTGCATTTTTTTTATAATCACCTAGGATCAAAAAGCAAATAAACCAAGTTAAGTTAAGATAAATATTCTTCCTATTGCTCCATTATTTGCTCACTTGAGGAAACATAACTAGAAGTTGTATGTTCTGAAATATATTGAGGTATCAATAGAACATCTACAATTTCATAAATGAGACATGACGCACACAGAAGATTGTTCAAAAATTTACCTGCTTAACTTACTTAATTTTAAAAAATCAAAAACACTGCTACTATATTTTCATACTGCTAGGATTATTCTCATAATTAGAATGTCTTCAAAAAGAGTAAGAAGGACTCAGGGAACTACTGGCCAATCAGACCTCATCTCAATTCCTGGAAAAGTGATGGAGCGTCTCCTTCTGGATACCATCCCTATCAACACGGAGAACAAGAAAGTGATCAGTGAAGTTGGCATGGATTCAGCAAAGGGAAATCATGCTTAGACAATCTGATTGCCTTCTGTGATGGGACCACTACCTGGATGGATGAAAGAAGAGCATGGCTTTCAGCAAGGCTTTCAACACTGTCTTCAACATCCTGTAGACAAACTCAGGAAGTGTAGCCTGGATGAGGGGACAGAGAGATGAACTGAGAACTGCCTGAATGGCAGATCCCAGAGGATTGTTCTGAGTGGCACAGGGTCTGGCTGGAGGCCTGTCACAAGCGGTGACCCCCCAGAATCAAGAGCGGGCCTGCTATTGTTTAACTTCTCCCTCAGTGACTTGGATGGAGGGCAGGTGCCTCCTCAGCAAGTTCCCTGCTGGCAGAGCTGGGAGCAGCGGCCGACAGCCCAGGGGGCCGTGCAGCCCTTCAGAAGGGCCTCGACAGCTGCAGAGATGGGCAGGGAAGAACTGCTGAGATTCAGCAAAGGCAAATGCAGGTCCTG